AAACCCCCGCAGACCCAAACAACCATAACGACACGCCCCGTTTTTATAGCATCAAACTACTAGCTAAAATCAAACTTATCACAAAAACGAACAATTGAACATATATCAGCGTGATAACAACTACCTTTAATGACCAAAGCTATCTTTTGGAAAATTGTATTGTAAGTGTAATTAATTTTTTTATTTTGACTCGCAGGACATTGTCAGCCTTACGCCACCAGAGGGCGCATCTGAGGACCAAACTCTATTCTATGGGATTTTCACTTCTCAGTGGTGAGGAAACATGCTTCAAATAATTACTATGAAAGTAACTGGTGAGGATTTATTTTATAATTAGCTGTTTTGCTTTTTAAAAAAACGGTTTTCTTTTTGTTTTTCTTTTTTTTTAGGCAAGTCAACTTGGGTCGCTCAGCCGTGTGTGCTTTCAGCCTCAAAGACATTAAAAAGGTGTTTACAGGACGTTACAAGGTTCTGAATCGGGACACTTTAAAATGGAGCACACGGGTACAGGAGCAAATGGCAAACCCTGGAGAGGTTAGTGTCATGAAAGCGTCCTGAGAGGACACTTATTGTATTATATACTGCTCAAAAGTCAGAAATTAATACATTTATTCAGCAAGGATGCATTAAATTGATCAAAAGTGACTTCTCAAATATAGAAGCAAATCAGCATATTAGAATGATTTCTGAAGGATCGTGAGACTGAAGACTGATTCTGAAAAATCAGTCTTCGCATCACAGGAGTAAATTACATAAAACATTTTTTTAAAAAACAGTCATTTAAGATTTTAAGATTATTACTGTTCATGTTGTATTTTTGACACGATATTCTCTGATTCTCTGGTTCTGTTTTCTTATGCACTTAAATCTAACTATTCAAATTTCTGCTGTTTATCTCTGCAGTGTGGCCTCCATAATGCGTCGGACAACACTCTGCGCTTTGTTAAGGACAACTTCCTGGCTGATAAAAGTGTTCGACCGGTCATTCAGGGCCTGACACTGGTGTCACCTGATAAGAGCTACAGCAACATCGCAGTTCAGAGAGTCCGTGGAGCACGCGGCAGAGATTACACTCTGCTTTACCTGCTCACGGGTAAATACTGGCGCCTCACTGTCAGCATCACAATTAACAGTTCTACTGATAGTGGAAATGTAGTTGTATTATTAAATAATAGTATCATGAAGTATCATGGTGCTTGGTATTTCAGGACAAAGCTAAATGAAACCTGAAGGGACTGTTCCACACTAAATTACTTGCACACAGTTTTGTTAACTACTACTTGCTGAATTTTTTTTCAGCAATTAAAATAAAATATAAATATTTGATCAAACTAAAATTCGAAAAACTTCAATAATAATTAGAATTGTTGCCTCAGAAACTAAGTTGCTACATTATTTTAAGCTAAATAGAAATATTAAAAAGGTAATAAAAACAAATTATTACATTTTAAATTCAAATTAAGAAACTAAAAAATATTGAATAATTAAAAATATTTATAGATATATTTAAGTTAGTACAGTAGTAAGGTAGTTACGTTTAGGTATTGGGTAGGATTAGGGATGTAGAATATGGTCAAGCAGAATATGTGCTTTATAAGTACTAATAAACAGCCAATATGTTAATAATAGCAAATAGTTAATAGTGACAATTGGTCCCTATACTAAAGATATTATTTCATATCGAACCTAAAAAAAGAAAATTGTTCCTAAACACCATAAGAGCTAATGATAAGAGTAAAATGTGCTAGAGAGAACTAATGGCAGTTGCAATAGGAGTAATAGCTATACTCCTAAAATGAAGTGCATTGGTTGTTTGGCAAACTAGACAAAGAAAACATTACATTTTCCAAAATATTATTGTATGTACAGTTTTTTGTAAGGTTTCTTAGAATTATCCCCTCATGGATGTTTTCCCCTTATATCACCTTTACTGTGTTCCCTGTAGAGTCGGGCTTCCTGCACAAAGCTGTGCTCTTGGAGAACGGAGCTCACATCATTGAGGAGATCCAAGTGTTTCATCAACCTCAGCCGGTCAAAAACCTCCTGCTGTCAGTCTCAAAGGTACCATCACTTGCGAGAACAAGCATCTGTGTGTGTCTGTATTTAATCCATTTCACACTCTGACACAATCACAAAGTCACTATATTCACAATATCTTAATCTGAGACATTAAATCAGGTTCCTTGGTTATGACCGCTTTGGTGCTAATGTTAACTTTTGGTTTAAATATCAGGTGACTGGTGAGACACAGATGGTGTGTTAGACCACTCCCATCACACTGCTCAGCCAATTACAGGCCAGCTCCTCATGACAGACATTTAGACACTGTGTCTTTATTCAGTTTTTAATAAAGAAACGGAAACTGTGCAAAGTGTTCAAATGGATTGTGTGTTACTGACCCACAAGCTGTAGTCTGCAGGCCTGGGTTTATTGACCTGAGCAGTCACTTTTCCTCAGAAATTGAATTTGATCTGCAAGAGGTTTTCTAGTGTGGTGTTTATTTGCTTAGACCTTTGTTTAGAAGCTAAGGAATGACCCCAGAGTAGCCTCATGCTAAGAATCTTAGATTGGCATAGCTATAGAAGGCCATCAACAGTGAAAGCACAGAGCTATATGCTGTATGCCTGTGAACTGTTTCTTTTGAAATGAACATCTATAACATAATATAATAAGTGCATCTAGTTACAGCTTCATCCTCACATAGTGATTTAATTTACTCATGAATCTGCAAGTTTATTGTGCTGAGCAAGAAAAAGTTGAGTATAAATGTGTCTCTGTCCCAGGGTGCAGTGCTGATAGGCTCTTCAGAAGGAGTCGTTTCCGTGCCCATGTCCAACTGTTCTTACTACTTGAGCTGTGCTGAGTGTGTTTTAGCCAGAGACCCCTTCTGTGGCTGGGACCCTGTGATGAAGCTCTGCACAGACATACACAGTCACGACCATCTGTAAGTATCATCACAGCCAAACGTATTCATACCTAAATAATACTAAATGTCAAATATGAGCTTGGTTTCATTTGTATGAATTGTATTGCTTGTATTCCAGATTTCAGCATTCGCACTCATTAGGTTACATCAGAAAACTGTGTGCATTCCAAACTGTTTTTAATGTCTTTTTTCACTACTCTTCACAGTGTCCAGGATGTAGATGAGGGGAATGTGTCAGCGCAGTGTACATATGTGACCCCCAGGTCACGCTCCGGCCAGTCCCGAACCCCTTCAAGTGAGTACAGTTCATGTATATAATGTTTAGGCATCAATGTATAAATGATTTCTAATCCACAAGTCTCATGTATAATTTCTGTGTAATAATCTATGTGTAGTAATAGTTTTTAATCATGTATAATTAAAATCATCATATATGATAATTAATTAATTGCATTTGCAAATCTTATACTCTGCCAGCTCAATAGAAGTCCCTGACATATTATCGTTTGTCTCATTCTTACTAGATCTTTGAGTGTGTTCAGTACTGTTTATGGCACTTTCTACAAACTTTTGACCTTTCCCACCTCCCATCCTGCATTCAATAATTAACAACAATAACATCATACAGCTGTTGGCACAATCTGATTAAATATCTCCTTCATTTTAGAAAAAAAAATGAATAACCAAAAATTTAATATTTAGCAACGTCACACATTTTATACAGAACCCTGTTGCTGCATAATTTTTCCATTATTAAAAAAAAGTTCATTTCATGAACTTGTGGCATCTACAGCATTATTTTAATTTTCAAGCAGGTTTTAGTGTTTAACCCTTTTATTGTTAAAATGATAAAAAAAATAATTATGGTAAATAAAATATATCAGAAAGTGCAAACCAACATTAAATTTGTGTTGGGGAAAGTTACTTTTAAAAGTAATGCATTACAATATTGCGTTACTCCATAAAAAAGTCACTAATTGTGTTACTTAGTTACTTTTTATAGAAAGTAATGTGATGCATTTCTTTTTGTCACCTGAGCTAGGTTTGCTCATTTGTTTTTAATAACAAAGAACTAGAGATGCACGATATTATCGGACTGATATCGGAATCGGCCGATAATGGCTTTAAATGTAAATATCGGCATCGGCCCGATATGAAAAATTATGCCGATATGTCTTGCCGATAAGAAGAATACGTTAACTCACATGTGCTCAGGGTGTGCTAGCGATTAGATCACATCAGTATTGTGACTCATTTTTGAAGCAAAGTTTTGTCTGAATGATGATTAGATTCACTCTTTTGGATCGCTGCATTTAATCTGTGAAAGCAAGTACAGAATGATGCCTTTGGTGTATGATGGTGTCAACAGTAATAGCACGTGCAGCAGTGACAGCCTCCCCCGGGTCCTAACGCCCCGTTCTGTAAGGAGTTTTAATCTGTAGGGGGCGCTGTTGGCCTACTTTTAATTAAATTAAAAGTAAAATAGCCTACACAAATAACATTTAGACTGTGTTTCTGATTAAATAAAGCAGTAATTGATGTCATAAAATAATGAGTATGTTTTAATTTAAAGGTCAGAAGCTATAGCTTGCATGAAAAAAAATCACAAACATGGCACTTGTAAATTAAATAATTTTATATGTACTGATTTATTCATTAATGTGTCATATGTTTTATTTTTTAAACAAATCATAAGCTCTAAAAGATTTTCAGAATTTTTACTACTCTTTTGCTTTAGACCATCTACAAATGCTAAATCTTAAAATAAAATGTTAGGGTTAACACTGCATCTTTCTGGGGGGAAAAAATTCAGCGATTGATATATAGTTTATTTATAATTATTTTCAAAGCTTCAATGTACTGTCAAAAAAACCTTCATTATTGTTTATTTAATTCTAACAAATAAGTTCTTGTTAAAAACTAACCAAAATTAAAAATATTTTGCTTATAATTTCTGCACAGGAGAGACTTGGTGTTGTTTCCAAACAAAAGGAAATATATCGGTATCAGTATGGGTATCGGCCAAAATGAGTTAGAAAATATCGGTATATTGGATATCGGCAAAAATCCAATATCGTGCATCCCTACAAAGAACCCAAAGGTTATATTTTTGGCAACTGTAAAGGCCCTTTCACACCAAAAGTGAAATTAATAAGCCTCAGTCTGAAGGAAGCACCTCTGCACTTACTCCCGATTTCTCTAAACATGGGGACAGGAGAGCTGTCGGTGAATAAATGGAAAACAGAGTAACTGGCGTTACTCATTTGAAAAAACTCGCTCAGATATTTTGTTGTAAAAGTAATGTGTTACTTTACTAGTCAGATTACATAACTCACATGCATTTCCCCCAACACTTGTTGCCCATTCTATTGTGCTTATAAATGTTAATACTTCTTTTTCTACTTAATTTTTTATGTTTTCATTTAATTGTAATTTTCGTGTGTTGTATTGTGTTTAGCGTATTTCTAGAAAATAATCGCACAAATTTAAACTGTTTAGTCATGTCCTAGGTAAAGGTAACAGGGATGTAACAGTTGCAAAAATGAGGTGAACATGAAATATTTTCAGAAAGATAAGCACCTCCTGTGCTGACTTTTATTTTGGAAAATTCATCCAGCATTTCAAGCCTTGTTTAGTACTTATTGATGTGCTGAACATAGTACTGGTTTATCTGTGTTGTTGTCGTGGTGTGGTGTGTATGCTGACCCTTGACCCCTGACCTCCTCAGCTGTGTGTCCTCCAGGTGAAGTGGTGTCCGTGTCTCTAAACGAAGTAGTGCACCTGCAGTGTCCGGGAGCATCACACCTCGCCAAACGCCACTGGGAGCGTCTCAACAGCCAACTCCCGCCCAAAATCTACATTCAGTCGGACGACGGCAGCCTCAGCTTTGTGGCGACCCCGTCCACCCTGGGACACTACCTGTGCCAGGCTGTGGAGAACGGCTACAGCCAAACACTGGTCGTCTACCACGTCAAACAGAAGAGCAACCCCACCATCCTCCCAGCCACCCCGAACCGCCCATACAGCACCCCGTCCACCGAGGCGGGAATTAAAACCCCCGTCTCCACTACCAGACTCATAACACCTGAACAAACAGAGCCGAGGCCTAAACCAGACGAAGTGCATCCTACAGTCACACTCAAAGACTCGCCGGTGGCCACCACTCGAAAAAGCAGGAACTTTACTCCCTTGCTTGGCACGGAAAAGGAAGACTCCCGAATGACCGAGCCTGGTGAAAACCTCCAGCAAGCGGACAAGCCCAGCTACTTTCAGGAGCTTGTAGTGGTGTCCATTCTGTTAGCTCTGTGCGTCAGCGCCTTGCTAACCATCGCTCTTAACAGATTCAGGCATCTTTGTCGTAGCAGGACGGTCCCGCAAACTCCTTCCTCTCGCAGGGACACCGAGAAGGGCGGAAGTGCGACGCCCCAGGAGAGAGAGTCTCTCAGAGGAAACTCGCCTCGTTTGGAAAAGCAGAACGGACAAGCTCCTAACGGACAGTCCCACAATGGTCAGGCACATAACGGCAAATCTCCCATCACACTGAGCAACAGCATGCTGAACAACTCGAACGGTCACCTGCCCAACACACCCATCTGATGCACTCCTCTAGTTTTCTGGGTTCACGGTGAACCTATTTTCTGAGCCAAACTGGGCTTCTGCTGTATCAAGCCCTGTCGCTGAACCATTTTGCTTTCCGAGAGGAAAAAAACTGGTAAAAACGGCACATCGGACCTTTTTTTTTAATCAGTTTGTTCATATTTATGCTGTAATTTATGTGACGACTGTTTGTTTCAGTCTAAAGTGTATCAGATTTTATGCCTCTCTAAAATCACATATAAACGTAGATGGTCAGTTTAAGATTTTCATTGATCTCTTCAACCTTTTTAATTGACATCAGAAGCTGTTCAGTCAGCTCAGTTTGAAATACACTTTTTAAATAATTTTATATTACATATTTTGATGGACCTTAAAAGTAAAATGTAATAAAGTTTCCTAAGAGAGGCGGCTGATCATCTGCTAATTTCAACTTCAAAGACTTGCTTGAATTTTCATATTTTCCATTCTGATCAAATGTTCAGTTTCCTGTACTCTGTCTGCATTGTTCAGAGTTGCTATATCGCACATCTTTTTTAGTCTTTGCCTTTGTTCCTTATTCTTATCTATTTCCAATTTTTGAATGTTAAAGACGAGGTATGTCTGTTAAACTTGATTTTTTTTCCCCTTTCAGTTCACCCAAAAATTAAAATTTTGTCATGTATTCGCCCTCAGATTGTTGGTAACCAAACAGTTTCGGTTCCCAGTGGCTTTTGTTGTATGTTGTAAAAAAAGACAAAAAAAAAAACAATGTAAGACAATGGGAATAGAAACAGTTTGTTTAACTATGTCTTTCAAAATATCATCTTTTGTGCACTGGAGAAACTCATACAGGTTTAGAATGACATGAGGGTGAGTAAATATCAGAATTTCCATTTTTGGGTGAATTATCTCTTGAATGTTGCACCAATGCAAAAATGAAGCTTTCAAAGATGCTTTTCAAGTGGTTTAATTTAAATAAGTATTTTGTAATGCATTAAGTTTTGCTGATCAGTAATGTGCAGGTGTGGGTAGATGTTTCTCTATAATTCATATTTCAGCGTAACAATATCTCAATATAAAAATAATACTCAAATGTGTTATTTCGGTATTTTGGACCTGTTATAGAACTATGTAGCCTGGTTACCTCGTTCAGTGTTGACCACTTCACTCTGCCCTAACCACAAAACACAGGAACTTCAACACTGGAACTGAGAAAATGGCTTCGAAGGATTTTTGGGTTGAATTTTGTTCAGTTTTTATATTCGAAGCACTGGGAGATAGTTGAGCCAATCTGTTACAGGAAAAATCATAGTCAAAGAAACTTGATTTTGTTCTTAAATATGATGGGGGGGGGAAGGCAGTTGTGTTTTGCGTTTGCACAGCAGTATATTGGGCCTGATTGTAGCTACATCCACTATATTGGGAGTGACCTGCATCTATTTTTTTATTCTTTCCCAGCCTGTGGTTTGTCACTGAACGGTATGGATTTGAAGTCTTCATTCTGGGGAAATCACTTGTAAATTGTGATATTGCCAAATGTGGGTTTTATAATGAAATGACGGAGAACTTGTTCTGTCTAGTGGTTCAAAGAACAGTTCCATTGATTGATTTGTCTGTAGTTGGATAACTGAGTCCAGTCGAAGCCCAGTATGTGAAGCCTGTCACAGGACTAGATGCATTCTCCTGCACGCCACTGATTTTGAAAGATTCTGTTTATTTTTTATAGCCTATGGAGAAGCAGGCTGTTTTGAAAATAAAAGATGCTGATTTAAAGTCTTGGAAATTATTATTATTTTTTTTTAATCCACTTTGTTTTCCACTAGGTGGCAGCAAACGACGAATTTTCAGCATCAATGAACCTTCAGAAATCATTCTAATATGCTTATTAACTGCTTAAATTTTATTGATGTTTAATTGTTAATAATGTTTCTGCAATAATGTTATTAATAATGATCAATGTTGAACAGTTTTTGCTGCTTCATATTTTTGTGATGTATTTTTGACATGATTGATGAATTTGAAAGTTCACTGAACATCATTTTACTGGAATAGAAATCTTTTGCAACATTATAAATTTGTCCTTCCGGAACACGAGTATACTTTTTTTTTCTTCTTTTTTTTTAACCTCACTCCAAACTTATGAATAGTAGTGTAACATTAAAAAAGAACAAATTTAATCTTGTAATCAGCAGACTTGATCAAAAGTCACAGTAAAGAAATGTATAATGTTGCAAAAGATTTCTATTACAATAAAATGCTGTTCAGTGAACTTTCGATTCATCAAAGTATCCTAAACTTTTCCACAAAAATATGAAGCAGCTCAACTGTTTCCAACATTGATAATAATAATAAATGCCTCTTGATCAGCATATTATTATGATTTCTGAAGGATCATGTGACACTGAAGACTGGAGTAATGATGCTGAAAATCCAGCTTTACATCACAGGAATAAATTACATTCTACAATATATTCAAATAGAAATCAACTATTTTAAATTGTAATAATATTTCACAATATTAATGTTTTACTGTATTTTAAGCAGATTACTGCTGCCTTGGTGATCATATAAAAGACTTCAAAAACTTTAAATAAAAATAAAATCTAAACTTAAAAATTCCAAACTTTCGACCGGCAGTGTAAATTAATTGATTGCTACTCAGAATAGTAGGCTATAGTTTTTAGTCGGAAGGTTGGTCTCGCATTAAAAGTGTATAGACTATAAAATAAGTTATTTTTGTCTGAAACGTAAGCTACTAGATATTGTTTATTGAACTGTAACTGCTGTTATACTGCTGGTATTAAAAATGGAAGAAAATAATAATGATAAAAAAATATAGGTAACACTTTACTTGAAGGGGTGTGCATAAGACTGGCATGACACCTTCATAATCATGACATGACACATGTCATGAATATGAAGGAGGTTTTATGCATGTTTATGACAACTGTCATTAAGTGTCATTCGCTCAGTTAAGTCATTTTTAATGCAAATATGACATTATTTGACCTAACCCTACCCCTACCCTTACCCCTAACCATAGCCCATAACAAAGACATCTCAAACAATGTCATCTTTGCATTAAAAATGACATAACTGAGCGAATGACACTTAATGACAGCTGTCATAAACATGCATAAAAAACCTTCATATTATGATTATGAAGGTGTCATGTCAGTCTTATGCACACCCCTTCAAGTAACGTGTAACCAAAAAAAATATATATATATAATGATAGAGAAGTGACCCGACAAACGTTTCCATATACCCCGCGCTTGGTTGCTAATGAGCGTTAGTGAGTGCTGGAAGTCGCCATAGCGCCGCATCACTTTGAGTCTGCCTCCTCACTGCGGTACTTACTGCGCGTGAGCCGCGTGTCACACACCTCACAATTAACTAGTCGTTTCCCTTCAGCCGCAACGCGGATGGAATAACTGAAGGCTGCACTTTCGCCTTTAAAAAAGAAACGCAGAATCAACGCGTTTTTCTTGCGCCTCAGAGGTAAGTGGCATCACACGTGTGTTTGAATGAATCTCGATTTGGGACAGGACGAACGCGCGCGCCGCCCCACCTATGTATGACAGCGCTGAAGGTTACACGCCTTTAGGGTTTGGGAAGCAGTAGACAATACAGCACTGGGGTGAGTCGCTCTGTTTGGCGTTATTCGTGGCGCAGTTATGCTCCGAGATAAAGTTGCATGCTGTCATAGTGCGGGACACTGCGGATGTGAGGAGACTGATGAAGCTGCGTCTATTTTTGTCTGCGCCTCTTGCCTTCGAGGCCAAGAAACCGTTTAATATCTCATCCGTTGAACATGTGAAATGCGAAACAGCTGTATATGATTAAAAAAAATGCACGCAGAAGACTCAGAAATGTGTAAAAATGCGCTCTTAAAATGTTATAATCCTTATATAGATGTAAAATGGTCTAGTGCTGATGAAATATGTAATACTGTATGCAGGAGTCGACTGTAAAGATATGCCTACTGGAGGCTATATTTGGGGTTTTCTCAAACTGACAAATTGGCGAATCCCTTTGAAGATCTTAGTTGCTGTATATATCATATTTTATACTAAATGAAACTAAAAAAACCTCTCCTTTATGATTGGGTTAATGGAGTAACCAGTTTTTGTAGGAACGTGTGGGCTTGTCTTATTCCTCAGAGAGGCTGTCTTATTTGAAAATGTGTCTAGACACTCTCTGGAGAGGCTTATGAGAGTTCAGAGGGATGTGTACTGTTTAGGATGGGTTTTGGACTGGTGGAAGTATAAATGACTGACGGTAAAAAAATCATCTTGTCATGTGATGCATCTCTACAAAATATTAAAGGGACAGTCCATTCAAAAATTAACATTCTGTCATCATTTACTCACCCATGTCATTCAAAAACGGTATGACTTTTTCATCACCAAATTATCTTTTTTTCTGCAGAGCGCAAAATATTGTGTGTAGTGTTGGTAACCAAACAGTTTAGTTCCCATTGACTTCCATTATATTGACAAAAATATGATGGAACTCTTTGGAAACAAAAACTTCAATTCAAATCTAGTTAGATTCCTCAAAATATCTCCTCAGGTTAATAACAATATGAAGGTGATTAAATGATGACAAAATTGTAATTTTTGGGTGAACTATATCTTTTAAAAGCGTTCCATAATGGAATACTAGCAAAGTACACTTTCTACAAAGTGAAGTAAAAGATATATAAACTTAAGCCTAGTTATTTCTACAGTGATTAGTGATGTGACACTGATGCCATGTTATGACAGTGTTATGTTATTTTGCACAAAAATTCAAGAATTCAGAATATGAGCCAATTTGCGTGTCTCCATTGATCACTGTTCTATTTTAATGGATTATAGAAAATGGAGTTCTTCCTAAATGTAGTTTTATTGACATGAAAATAAAAAAAAGAGATGAGTTTTTCACATGAAGTGAAGTCAGTCATCACATTTATTTATATAGTGCTTTATTTTTATTTTTATTTATTTAGTCATTTAGCAGACGCTTTTATCCAAAGCGACTTACAAATGAGGACAATAAAAGCAGTCAAAACTAACAAAAGAGCAACAATATATAAGTGCAAATGACAAGTCTCGGTTAGCCTAATGCAGTACACGTAGCAAGGTGTATATATATATATATATATATATATATATACATACATATATAATACATATACATATACATACACACACATATATATATATATATATATA